AATCCATACGGCTTTATTAGACCTTGCACGTTCTCGCCACTCTATAACTTCTCAAGGCAAAACCTGACAGCCCTGAAGTACTGCCGGTGTTCTTTCGTTTAATACACTACCGGTATCCCTGTGAAATCATGAGCAAGCTCACAACTATCTATCAAATAATATCATAAATATGAAATAATATATATCAGGACATGAATATATATGCAGACTGTATATACGTACATATGTACATATGTACATAAATACATACTTATATACAGACACATGCATAGACATACATGCGATCGTTTGTGTGTGACTGTGCTTACAGTGTGAGAGCACAGCACAAGCGAGTGCTTGTGTTTATACCTCCCTTGAAGGGGCGCGTTGAGATTGCGTCCGTGCCCACAGGCATACAATGAGATCTTGATACCAGTAAGCGGCGTTTTCTCAAACCGAACGACTGATTTCCTAAACACCCGTGATTTCGTCTTCTAGATGATTCTGGCACATCTTTCTTTCTCTCTCGCTGGCTCACTAATCTCAAAATCATTCCGCTTGTTCCGCATGACCTGAGCCTCTATGATCCGCCCTTTTTGTCACAATAACACGCACGTGATCACACTTCCAAAGCCTGTCGTATAAAAAGCAGCTCCGCCCCCCTAGCTGCCGATAATGAAGGTCGGTCTGTTTCCTCAAATAAATTAGCTAAATTATAAAGGAAAACATAAGCAGGCGAAAACAGAATATTCCGGCAGGCTTTCATAATGGGTCATTGTGTGTACCGACAGAGCCAGCATCCAAGGACATTATGCACAGCTCACTCGCGAGGAAGTATAAAACCCGTCCTCAAGTCTCCCCCGCCCTATTGTGACGCCCCGGATACGTACTTGGCAGCCACAGAGGACAGGGGCGACAAAGGGACAGGGGGCATGGGGCAGGGGCCAACGCAGAAACTACAGTGGAATACGTATCTACGCTGGGTCTACTTCGCACATACATCCTGTTTACCGTCGCCTACGTGGAAGAGAATGCCGCAGTTTTAAACATTTTATCTTTTAAAACATGCTTCCAGTTTCCCTCTTTCTTCCAGCCCGAGCTGTTGCCTCTCAGGAACGGCATCACAGGGAAGGCGGAGAACATAATTTCGAGATCACTTTCATCACTCACAGTCAAGTTACGTTACTACGGCTCTTCCCTTCGTCCGGATCCTACACACCTGCGCGCACACACCTAATCCTCGCACGCTATACATCCCGACAGGAGGCCGATCGCTCTTCCCCTCGTACAGACCTACGCAAAACCTTCATATATTACCATGATAAAAAACAACAGCAACAATAGCAGTGCCGTCCCCCTCATGCGTAGAAAACGTTTTCTCATTACACAAGGAACATTGAATCAACTGCTCCGAGTATTGATTTCGAGGCTACGGTCACGGGCTACTACCTGGCCCGCTTTTTCACATGTTAAAAAAGTGCCGGACACGGATGCCAGGAGATCGTGATCCGCCTTAAGGAAAAGAACAGGGACACAAAAGCAGCTTCTCTGCACCTGTGCCGCAGGAAGCCAAACCATAGCACGTCCTTGGGTGTTATACTTGCTGTGTTAAAGCTGGGTCTCCCGCCGGAAGGAAGGAAGGAAGGGGTGGAGCGGCCGCCCCTCCGGACGTGTTAATGCGAAGGGCGACCGTCCAGCACCAGGTCACTACTGTGCCATTATCACTCAGGAGTCACACTTCGGCGTCGGCTGCAGGAGCGCTGACACTTGGCCACTCCCTCAATACTACAAAGGTTCTGCACAAAGTAGTTTGAAGGACTGGCCTCATGCCGACCAGTCCTCCGGCACTCAACTGTCGATAAATTATCACGAGAATTGACTTTGATTAATTTTCGATCATTTGTCAATCAACCAAAACTTCTTTAATCACAAGCCGCACTCACCTTTGAAACACTTGCAAACAAACAGATCACAACAAGCACATTATTTCTGTGCAGACATCATTTTCCTTATTCAACTTTTTCAGAACCGATTTTCTTTGTAAACACTATGTCGCGGGTCTTGGGGAGCGGGATCCTGCACGGAGCTCCTGCACGTGCGGCAGAGATCACAGAGCCAGGGCCACTGAGGAGACGGCGGCACTCCGGCACATTTTTCCCAAGCAGGAGCTGAAGGATGGGGAGGAGGGACGCCCGCGCTCGTCAGCCTCTTGTTCCCCTCGCTCCCCTACGCGAGGATGACTGAAGGATAGGTCCACACTATAATCCACGCCCACGAAGGCGTTGAGGTCGGTGTCCAGCCCGGCCCATCAGCCACTAGCCGCCCACATCACGCACAGGTAGTCCTGCCCTCGCCACCTGCTGTAATTAAGGTAAGCTCATGGACGACCGACTTTCGCTTGACGCGATCCGTCGTTCCTGTCCGTCCTCCGTCAGGCTTCGCGAGGGCGCGACACAGGATGTGGACGGGCGGGTAGAAAGGGCGTGCGGGCGTACAGGAGCGCGACGGACTGTAGAGCGGAACTCCTCGGCAGGGCACGGCAGCAACACTGGGAGACGACGGTCACGGGGGCGCCTCGCTCACCCGCTGGGCGGAGCTTACGGCTCGCCCCGCCCATGCTCGGGAATCAACAATGTACGATAACTTATCAATTATTGGTGTGTTTTTTCGCAATAAAACATAATTATTTTTGTTATAAGTCCCTTTTTGTCCTCAACGTCAGATTGGCGTCGCACATGCAAACGGGAGCGCTCGAGCCAGGCGCCGCCGTCTCTGCTGGAGGGACCCTCCGCGGCCGCGCTGCCTCGGAGCCGCGATCTCTGACCTCCTGTTTGCAAGGCATAAGCGGCGTCGCGCAAACGGGATGATCGCCTCGTAGAGACACCCGAAGTGGGGAACCAAGCTAGTCTTGAGTGCAACCGAGCCGCGGAGGGCGTGGAGGGCGTGGCGGGGACTGTGGTGGGCGTGGTTGTGTGGAGTGCGGGCGGCGAAGGAGAGTTGTCGGCAGTGTGTGGCCAGAGAGCCTCATCAACCAACGTGGGGCGGCGGGCTGCGCCACGACCACGGCGACTGACTGACTGGGTGACGCTGTGACGCCACACACTTCGCCAGTGCTGACGCTGTCGCTCGCCCGCTCGCCTCCGCCGCCTCGCTCTCGCCGCCATGACCCTCTCGATTCCGTCACGCCTTATCCGGCACCGTCACTCGTCGCCAGAACACACACTGCCAAACAGCATCCGCCTACCTCGCACATGGCGGTGCCCGGTCGACATCTACCCGTCATCTCCTTTATCATGATAAAATCTACCAACTCCACACAATCTATCATCGCCTTGGACTCCGCCATCGTTAAGGGGAATTTAGTACTGCTCTGGGGTAAGTGACAGCTCACCTGTGGCACGGGATGATCCACGGCGCTCCCTAGCCTCCCCAGCCGTGCCTCCCTGACGTCTCTCTTGTAATGTGCGACACACTAAATTCGCGCTCCCGGCGTGAGTGAGGGACTCCCAGGGGCTGCCATCTCTGGTTCTCTCCTCACACCACGGAGATCTTGCATTTTTAGAATGCTAGAGTGCCACATGCCACATGCCACATGTAATTGAATCTTGCGACCAGATTGGTTCCATGTGAATGTTCGATACTGTTGCATTTTATCTGCATCGTCCTAATAAATGTTAGAATTCCAGCACTAGCTTGCAAGGCCACGTCAACCTGGAATAAACTGGCTCCGACTGTTTACATTTAACAGACTGAAAATGTTTATTTTGCATGAACTCTCGTTTTCTGGCTGGAAGGAACTCGTCACTTTTGCCACCAACTTTGGGTTGCTTGACAAAGCACAAAGTTCGTAATCTCCTTCAAATTATAAACAAGCAGGTTTATATAACGCGAAGCAATTTGGACCTGGCTTCGATCCAGCCTCATAAACAGGACCGGGGGTTCTACCATTGATTAGAGCTCGTAAATGTACAAATAAACAACCTAATGGTCGCATTAGGCATGGCATGCAAATGGCACTCAAATTTACGACTACAACCACTCCATGGTTTTACCTGCCCACCGAGAAATGGTTAACGGAGACTTCACCCAAGTTTAATAAGGCTCTTTCTCAACTTAACGCTAAAACACATTCTAAGATCCAGTCGAGACAAACACCGAGGAAAAAAAATGTGCAGTGAACCATTCTACACTCTGGTTAAACTGCAAGGAATAAACCCCACGTGCTCATTTAGTAGAAAAGCGACAAAGACCGGAGGGGATCAATAACAAGAAGAGTAACAAGCCTGCTCCCCCGGAGCAACAAGTCTCGCCCCAAAGCATAGCGCCGTCGACAACGCAGGAGCTTCGTTCGCATGACGCGCGGTCCCGACGACGCCAGCAGCCCTCCACCAACACGTGGACGGAGGAACTCGTACTCCTCGCTCGCCGACGTCACGGGCTGAGTAAGAGTACGACGCACGTGTACACGCAGCGAACTAATGCATGTCCATATGACATATTGCTCATGAAAGTTCAATATCAATCAAATAAAAGGATAGAAAGTACAATACAAATCCAACAAAAAGATAGAAGGCACGATATGAATAAACAAAGAAAAGAAAAATAAACCGTGTTAGTAATGAATGAATCAATCAAACAAACAAAATAATAGCCAACAGACAAACAGATGGCCAGGACGCCAACAAGTGTGAGTGTGAACAGCAGTGGATACGAGGGGGAGGGGAGAGTGGAGAGACAGTGCCGTGATCACAGGACGTAAGGAGCGCCGCACGAGTTCCTTCCGAGGGCCAAATAGCAGCACTCAGCCACCGCCCCCGCCGATCCAACACACGCGGGTAAGTACACGATACACGATTATGCTTTCAGTCCCCTGCATAAACATTTCCTGATTCCGCGGATCATAATTCCAAAGCACGACGTCGGGACCTGTGATTTTTATGGGAATTTTGCCAACGTAAATATATACACTTTATCGGGAAATTTTTACCTGATGTTCCCACCCATCCACGGCCTTGACGGGGGCTATCTGTCAGACTATTCTCTGTGCTCCTCTTCCCTATTCTGAGAAAAAGAGAGCGAGAGAGCAAGAGAGAGAGAGAGAGAGAGAGAGAGAGAGAGAGAGAGAGAGAGAGAGAGAGAGAGAGAGAGAGAGAGAGAGAGAGAGAGAGAGAGTGAGAGTGAGAGAGAGAGAGAGAGAGAGAGAGAGAGAGAGAGAGAGAGAGAGAGAGAGAGAGAGAGAGAGAGAGAGAGAGAGAGAGAGAGAGAGAGAGAGAGAGTGAGAGAGAGAGAGAGAGAGAGAGAGAGAGAGAGAGAGAGAGAGAGAGAGAGAGAGGGGAGTATCGGCTCCTTATCGTAATCTTATTACTTTAATCATTTCGATTTGTTTCTTTCTTCCTCACTGGAAACTTTATCACTTAAGACAATATCTCTCAAGTCGAAACCATGAAACTCATTTCCTTTTCCCCTCCCTACTTCCTCCTTTCCCCTTTCCTTCTCTCTTCCCCTCCCTCTCCCTCTCCCTCGACCTTTCCCTCTCCCCCTCCACCCTCCCACACGCCATCCTACCCAGCCATCCACACTTATAGCTGAAGTTGTAGCTCTCGAGGTGCACGTCCATCCTCGTGCATTTTCCAATAATTACATGACTCTCCTCTTTTCTTTTCTTTTTTCCCCCCACTTTTAATAATTTATCTTTTTTTACGTAAGAGGCGTAAGAGAGGAGAGGATTAAAATGGTGGCAATACATTAAATGACTGTGTGTTTAGCTCCTTGTCTCTTCGCAGGACAATCAATTTCCCACCAAGATGTGCCATTCCCACTGAAGAATAGGACAGAAAGACTTGTAATCTAATTCCATTTTTCAGCTCGCTCCCACCACACCCTGGGATATTTCTCTTTCCCTCCCCGCAACTCACTCTTCTCTCCTCTCCCTGCTTTCTCTCTTTCTCGTCCTCTTTCTTTTTCTCTCCCCCCCTCTCACTACCTCCCTAACTCTCTCCTTCCCTCTCTCTCTCTCCCTCTTCTTTCTCCCGTCCTCACCAACTCCTCAACAACTCACACCCTAACTTTTCCCATCTCTCTTCATACCTATTTTGCCGGGCGTCCCCCTTTTTCACGATGCACTAATATCGTGTCTTTTCCTGTCCCTCACGTCGCCCGCCTACAAGGTAAGGTGTCACTCACCTCGCCGCCAGCCACCGCCAGCCACAAACAAACACAAAACAGCCAACCCTCCCCCCCACCCCAAAGACACACCTCTGAAACACATGTGTCACGCCACCTATGCGCGACGTCCCCGTGGTAAATCCTGTGCACCTGTTGGCTTAGATAAATCGCGACCTGCGGGAAGAAAACAAATCCAACTGAAGCTTTCACGGCGACGGGGGAATAAATATCTACAGAATATATCGTCTCGCCTCCCCCTCTCGTCCCCTCTCTCTCCTCCATATACTTCTCCTTCTCCTTCTCCTTCTCCTTCTCCTTCTCCTCCCTCCTCCTCCCTCCTCCTCCTCCCTCCTCTCCTCCTCCTCCTCCTCCTCCTCCTCCTCCTCCTCCTCCTCCTCCTCCTCCTCCTCCTCCTCCTCCTCCTCCTCACCACGCACGCTGCGACCCTGTTCCACTGACTATAATAACCTAGCAGAAAGTCTTGCTCTCTCATTTTATAATGTTAAATATATAGCCTCGCAAATACTTAACTTTCACCCTGATATATCGCTTATAGTCACACACACGCACACACACATGCAAACGGGCCAATACACGCACATGTAAACACAGACATCAGTACGAACATCCGCACGCATCCGTGCGCCCGCCCCTTTTCCTTTTCTTTGTCTGCTCTTCTTTCTTCCTTTCTTCTCTCTCTCTCTCTCTCTCTCTCTCTCTCTCTCTCTCTCTCTCTCTCTCTCTCTCTCTCTCTCTCTCTCTCTCTCTCTCTCTCTCCCCGGCCCTCTCTCACTCTTGCCCTCTCTGTCTCTCTCTCGTTCTCTCTATCTCTCCCTCTTCTTCTCCCTCCTTTACTCCCCTACCCTTTCCCACCATCCCTTCCCCCGCCACTCTCGCTCTGCGCCCACTGTACATCGACCCCCAGACCCCACACGCCCACACACACGCACATACAGTGCGTGTGCACATGCTATATTCGTGCCATATGCAACCCTGCAGATAATATCCATGCAAATATGTCCAGAAACACGGGGTAATCCATGTAAACAAACAAGAACTCAAAAAATACAGACAGATATCCGCACTGCCACTAAGCTCAGCACAATTTAATTTGTAAAATCGCTTTATGTTCAAATATACGTTTGTACAGATTTTTTCAAGCACGCACCGCCAATGCAACCTAAGTTCTAAACCGAAACCCATCGTCACTTGCCCTCATCGCCTACCCACTCCCATCCCCTCTCTTCATCTTCCCTCCCCCTCCCTTTCCTCCCCTCTCTCCTTTCCCATCCAATCCCCTCACCCCACCCCATTCACATTTCTTCTTCCCCTTCCCTCCCTCTCTCTTTCCTCTCC